AAAAAAAAAAAAAAAAAAAAGCCAACAGATACTGGGACCCAGGAAGGTCAGGCCAGTAGCTTACAGCCCTGGCTTCCGGCTAAGGAACCCCAGTTAGACTGAAACCTTTCACAAGCTCTTTACGGTGTGAACCTGCATTCCTCGTGTCAGGGGTCTGGAATACCGGGTGCTCCAGGGTGATAAGGTAACCCAGGCAGAACAGCCTAGGGAAAAGCGAAATCTCACGGCTCCAGCCTTCTTTCCTCATAACTGAACTCCTCAGCATTACTGGGCTTGGAGGAGTGAACGAGAGGCCTGTTTGATTTTAACTCACAGGAAGGAAAGAAGACGAGGGTTGGCGGTGCCTGTGATTCCCGCACTCGGCCTCGGTGCTGGTTTTAAACCCAGCGTGTGTTGCTTGGATTACCTGAACATCAGGATTTTAAATTGGGTACAGAGCTCAGAAACTGGACTCTCCCTCTAGCCCTTTTTTGGAAATGTCAGAGCTCTTTGGCCCACTTTCTTTCTTTTGGCAATAGGAAAATCATAGAGCCTACCCCATTTCACTTACAGATAACTTACGACATCAGAATTCAGTTCTCTGGCCTTTGGTTAAACATGTGCATGCACAGGGCAGATGCAATCTATTAACACAGCCCCTCTTAAACATCTATCAATGTTGCTACAATTCCATCAATGTTGCTAAAATTGTAACAAAGGCTAAAAACATATAATGCTGCATGTCAACATGTCCTGCTTTCAAAGCAGGGAGCTTTTCACTTGAGTGAGTTGTTTGCGTTTTGGTTTACTAGGATTCACACAGCCCTCAAGGTCGGGCGACAGAGTGCCTGCAACGGCCCCATGGACGACAGGCCTTTGCGCCCCTAGTTTTGGGCATTCTGTCTGCTGGGGCTAAGAACCTCTTCCTAGGAATCACCTGACACTTCCTGAATTTACAGAGGGGCCACCAGAGCTCTCCTATACCCAGGTGGCCCTGGGTGTGCCCTGGTGTGACACCTCCCCACGCAGGGACCTTTGAGCAGTGTGGCTGGGTCAGTCTGCTCCGGATCAGGGCCCAGCTCACGCCTGCTCTGCCCACGGCCCGGCTCACGCCTCCTCTGCCCAGGCCCTGGGGGAAGAGAGGAAACCTTGGTGGCAGGTGGTCAGCTCCGTCCCAGGCACACTGGGCCTCCTCCAGGCAACCCTGGCCAGAGCCACTGTCAGCCACAGCCGGCAGGAGACCACAGGCAGCCTCCCGAGCCACTGCCTGCTCCGCTCACAGCACAAGCAGCTGTCTCTCGGGCGTCCTGTGTGGATGGAGCACAGAGGGGATCCTTCTCTGTCAGGCTTCCTCCAACTCTGAGGAGCTAGATGTACAAGAATAGGTAGTAAAGGGAGAAATAAACAAACAGACAAAACCCCAAACCTTTCCTCTCCCTGAAATGGCTATTTCAAGAGGTCTATGTGGACAAAAAAGTGTCAAGACCATTTTTGAAGTCAAAGTGCTTGGAAAAAAGTCCAACGAAGTCAGTGCTGCCTTTCCTTCCAGAGGCTGTGCCCAAGCCCTCCAGTGCCCCCAAGAGAGTCTCAGAATCAAACAAAACTTCCAAACAAAAATCCTACACATGCAGGGGTAAGTCTTGTGGGCACCGCAGAACAAAGGCCGAATGCGTTTCACTAACACGAATAATACATGACTAAGAACGCTGACAACGAGGCGGCTGAAGGGAGCTCCCGGACAGTCAGCCCTCAGTGTGGCCTGAGTTTCGCCGGTGCGGGGAGGAGAGCAGTGCCCTGGAGCCGTGGCTGGACGCCGCAGGAGGTGTGTATTATTTGCAGTTGGCATCAGAGCGAGGGGCGTCCGCACACCCCTTGCCCTCTGATGTTTCTCTAAATGGATTCGGTGGAGACACGGCCGTTGGGGTCCAACGATGGGGGAAGGGGCACCCCAGCCTGCGCAACTCCCCCACCCCAGCCCAACTCATGGCGAGTGCACTGGCAGCATGGCCAGTCTGGCCAGCGGCATTGCCAGGCTGAAATCACTCACGCACCACGTAGTCAGGGGCCCTGAGCCCCGGCTCCCCAGTCTGCAGTCTGGCGACATGTGGTCCAAGTGCATCAGATGACACCACATTTCAGATAATGCCCCAGACACACATTCTGTGATCCAACCAATCTGTGCTCGTCTCTGGACCATTCCGGGGAGGCATTCCCTGGAGGGAAACCTTCCAAGCAGTGGCCGGGTAAGTGACTCTCAGGCTTACAAACAAGACGGGACTTATCTGACCGAATGTCAGAGGAGGTAGCCAGGAAGGGCGGGAGGGGAGGATGGCGGGTGGAGGGAGAGCCCCACGGGCCTGTTTGGCGGTCAGGGACCACAGCAGCGACGGGTAGGAGGCAGGGGACCCCAGGCAGGCTGGCAGCGTCCACGCATGGCGAAACAGAAGGCTCTGGACCCAGCATGCAGGTGTCAGGGTCAGGCCCCGGGCCCACGGGCTGGCCTGGAGTGCCTGGTACAGATCCACAGAAGAGAAGGGCCATGGTTCCCAGGCAGTAGCTGCGAGGTGAAGGGAGTCTCTGCAGAGGCTGGAGGAAGGAGCTGCAAAGGTCTGATGGGGAAGGAAAAAGCCCCTTCCGGAGCCCCTGGGGGCACAGGCCCAGCGCTCAGCCCTTAGAGGCAGAGTCCATGCCACTGGCTCGCCCCACACGTCACACAGAACTGCCTCTCTCCAGCTGCTGTCTCTCCCAGCTCAGACTTTCCTGCCTTGTCTGGAATAAAGAGCAGCACTGTTTGCTTTTAGAAAGGGTGGTTGTCTAGTGACTACTAAAGAAACTTCTCTTTCCTGTGCTTCTTGTGAGGGACACACGGCACAACGCTGCTTCGTGACCGCGGAGCCTTCTCTGCCTCAGAAGGGAGCTGTCCGCCAGGCGGGCGCATGTCAGACGGTCTGTGTGGTCTACTGCAGGCACCTCGGCACTGCTGTGGCTCTGGCGGAGACACACAGATCCCGGGCCGTCTGCAGGGCACACACATGTCCCTCTGGTGGGAGCCGGGTCTTGCTCCAGCCAGCCAAGAGCATCCTCTGCACCACTCCCTCTCTCTCCCTAAAACAGGCGTTTCTTCCTCAAGGGTCCTGTGACTTCCCGTTCCTGCCCCACAGAGGGAGACTGGGGAAGAGCGAGGACCGGCCACAGCCCCACACTGAGAGGGCTGGATGGGAGCCAGATGTGCACCCATTGCAGGGAATGTGGCCTAGGGCCGCCCACCATGAGTGGCAGGGCCAGTCCTCCACCACTGGGTATGTCGGCTGCAGCCCCACCTCATGGCTGTCCTGCCTGCATCCCTTGCCCACCCCCACCCTCGCCAGCCCTTGGCCCACGATGGACCACAGCGTCCTTCCCCTCCTCCCTCTTGGTCTCATCTCACAAGCCTGGCACTCGGGGTACAGCTGGTCACCTTGGCTTTAGCCGTGTGACCCAAGGGACACTTTGGCACATGGATGGGGGGGCGCAGACACAGGCAGAGGAGAAGAGGAAGGAGCAGCGGATTCTTCTAACCACTAGTTCTAGGGCAGCAGGTGCGGCTCTGGGTGCTGCTGGCTTCATGCAGGTCACGGGTGGGGTGACGGCCGGGCACTGGGCCCGGGAGAATGGCGCATGGTCTCAGTCCTCCTGCACAGTGTGACCTCTGGGGCCTACTCAGTGGCCATTTGCTCAATGTGGTCACTAAGCAGCTTGTATTGCTCTGGAAGAGAAAGCGATGTTATTTCTCAGATGAAATATGGTGACAGGGACAAGTGTGTCCTGCTCTTGTCACTCGGACAGGGGTGAATCAGGGCCTCCCTGGCAGCAGGGCTGCGGCTCCTGAACTGCACTGCCTTCCGCAGGCCACACAGCTTGTGCGCTTCAGGGCAGGGCTGTGCCACGAGGGCGCACTGCACACGCAGCCTCTTGGCCAGCACGCTGCCTGTGGGGCAAACAGGTGGCTGGAAGGGGCCCTCAAAACTGGGAACGCACCTTCTTATAAAAATGGTGTCATGGGGCGCAGCCCCTGCACCCTGTGACAGGCACAGGGCAGTTAGTCCAGCCACCCTGGGGACTGGGAGAGGTGGCAGCATCCCCCTTGCCCTGTGCCAGTGAGGTGGGGCTGCTAGCAACATTCTGAGACAGTCTAACGGCCACTGGCGCCCTCATGCCTCCTCAGGCCGCTCCACCACAGATCCCTTGAATTAGGTGGAGAACGGGATTTTCTGAAGAATATGGGTCGATCCGTATCTACGCCTAAGTGTAAGTCCTTTCCGACGCAGAGGAACCAACGCTTGCAGCAGATGGGGCCGCACACAGGGACTGGCCCCCGTGCAGGAGGGCGTCAATGTCACAGCATTTCCCTGCTGTCACGGAAGCCAGAGATTCCAGAGAAACCTCAAAACTCCCTCCCCACCACCCTTGTCCCCTGGCACTCATCATAGCAGTGTGGTCTGAGAAAGAAAAGGACGCCACGCGGGAGCCATTTAGAAGGGGGCAACTTGGGGCCAGAGTTTGGCTCCGTGCAAGCTGAGTCCAAGCGCTGCATCCCCCTCTTCCTCTGTCCTGTGAACACCGGGGCTGCAGCCTCAATGCCCACAATCCTATCTAGCAGAAATGGATTCCAAATGGAACGAGAGGTGTCCTGTGCGTCCGTCTACACAGACTGGGGAGAGAGGAGGGCCGTCTGCCCAGAGCTCAGCACATTTCCGACTGCAACACGACATGCCTTCTGGCAGTGCAGAAGCGCCAGCGGGCGCAGCACTGGCTCCTGACCCCAGCCCTGCCCGCCTCCCGTCAGCGGCCTCCCGCAGACGCACCTTCATCCAGGTTGCCAATCACAGCCTGCTTCTTCAGGAAGTCATTGCACAGCTTCTTGTTCAGTCCGAAGGCCAGCATGTTGTGCGAGAACGTGCTGCAGGAGAAAACCCAAGAGCGTCACCCGCCGGCTTCCCAGGGGAAAGGGCCAAGGAGCTGGGCCCTCATCTCTGGGACGCCCACCGTGGCCTGCCTGGAACTGTCAGCAAAAACTGAAACGCACTGCTGCCTAATTAACCACCAGCAACTCTCGCTGTGGCACTGCGGCCACCAGGGGTTGCGTAGGAGGCGGATTAATTATGAGCTGGCATGGAGGCCAGTGTAATGAACTCCATGCCTCAGAGTAGGCTGACACAGCACCCCAGGGTGTGACAGCTCACAGGTCGTGACAGCTCACAGCGTGGGCCCGCCCCCTCTCTCCCTGCCCCCTCTTTCCCCTCCCCCTTTCCCACGCCCGCCCTTACCCCAGCTGCCCAAAGGTGATGTTCTCGTTGAACCGGAGGCTATCATCGCGCTCCTCCTGCGTCATGTGGCACCACTTCTCCCTGCAAGCACAGGAGGTGACAGGAGCGGGACTCAGACGGTGCTGTCCTTGCCCCTGCTCCTCGCCCTGCTCTGACCCGTGGGTGCTGGCGGCACCCATGTACGGCCCCCCGGGCACAGAAGGGGGTGCCTTTCACCAGAGAGCCGTGTGCTGAGCCTTTCCACAAGGCCTGCCGGGATCCTGACACCGCGCTTGGGGTCCCCAACGTTCATCTCACTCTCCACAAGATAAAGAGACGCGGAAACAGAAGTGTTCTTTAAGGCCCTGAAGGTGCGGAGCGCCACGTGGCTACCCAGGCATTCTACAGGCAGCGGGGCCGGCCCCAGAGCCTCGCTACAGCTGGAGAGTGGGGTCTGGGCCCGTCCTCGGGGAAGAAACCTCCAGAGAGGGAGGGGACCTGCCCAACATCCCAGGACAGCGGGCCTTGGTGGCCCAGGGAACGTTTTCAGATCACACCCGTGTCTCCTGACCAGCCTGATGGGCCAGGCGAGGTGCGACATCCTGGGGCCAGTTGCGGATGGCAGCTTCCACAGAGGCTGAGGACACGGAGGGCCACACTGTGCCCTGCCTGAAGAGGGCTGTGCCCTGCTCAGCTGTGCCTTCTCTGTGTCGGCTTTCTCAAGGCCCTCAATGCTCTCTCTAGTCCCCTCCCTAAATAACACAGACCAGGCCCCCACGCTTCCCGCCGGCCCCTCTGACCGTGACCCTGTGGGTGCTGTGGACCATAGTGAAGACAGCGCCCAGGCGTGAGAACAAAGTGCTGAAAACCCAATGAGACGGCATGGACCGAGGTCTGCACCGAGCTTCAGGAGCCGGGGGGGACCCTGACGCGTTCCCCGCACAAGGCCTGGGAGGGGGGGTGTTCTGAGCGCTCACCTGCTGCATGCTTTAGAGGGGGTGCGGTTAATCCCTCGTCTGGGGCAGAACAAGGGGGCTCTCCACTCCCTCCCAGCCCTCATTGCCACAGAGCTTTTCTGCGTTGCCGGCTCGTTCCCCGCCCCTTGGGCAGGGCCTGGGGCCTCCCTGACCCTTACACAACTGCCTGGACAGCACGGCCATCTGAGAAGCTACCTGCAGAGGCAGCTGCGAACGTGCAGACATTAATTTCAGCCCCTTTCCCCTTAAAAAGAAAACCGGATGGATGAGTCTGACTAAAATAAGGTTGAGAGGAAGATCAAAGAAGGGGGAGAAGGATGGTATGAGAGGGTGAGAGGTTGGGATCATGGAGAAGCCAGAGGAAGAGAAACAAAACAAAGGAACATGAACTCCTGGCTCCTCGCCACCCCCGGCCCACGAGAGGTCACTGGCACTGCTGCAGCTTAGCAGGCATCACAGGGCATCAGGGGCATGATGGGAGTGATGGACAAAGGTCACTCCCGGCCTCCTCGTGCCGATGGCAGGATGCCCACGAAGACACCAGAATATACTTTCAGGTACTCTGCAGAGTCCCGTCCCATTTCCTTCCTACTGTCTTTCCCCAAAACAGCCCCCCTGAGGGTTGTTCAGACATAAACCCCTGCACCACCCGCAGGCCTGCTGCGCACAGTTGGGCAGGTTGGGCCCTGCACGGCCCCAGACCGCACGGGAACGGCTCCCCTGGAGTTGTGCAGCACAGGAGCCCTGGCCCCTCCTCTCCTGAGCCAGATGACGCGGCGATTCTTCTCGCCATGGTGAGGACGAAAACTGAGACATTTAACCTGACGTCTCAAGAAAGAGGTAAATGGTCACTGGCAGTAGCAGATGAGGTAATGTCCACGATAAAATCACTTCTTACGACTGACTTCAGGCCAGGCGTGGTGGCTCATGCCTGTCATCCCAGCACTTCGGGAGGTCGAGGCGGTCAGATCACCTGAGTTCAGGAGTTCAAGACCAGCCTGGCCAACATGACAAAATCCCATCTCTACTAAAAATACAAAAATTAGGCTGGGCGCGGTGGCTCACGCCTGTAATCCTAGTACTTTGGGAGGCTGAGGCGGGTGAATCACCTGAGGTCAGGAGTTTGAGACCAGCCTGACCAACATGGTGAAACCCCGTTTCTACTAAAAATATGAAATTAGCCAGGCATGGTGGTGGGCGCCTCTAATCCCAGCTACTTGGGAGGCTGAGGCAGGAAAATCGCTTGAACCCAGGAGGTGGAGGTTGCAGTAAGTTGAGATTGCACCCCTCCACTCCAGCCTGGGCAACAAGAGTAAAACTCCGTCTCAAAAAAAAAGAAAAAAAGAAAGAAAAAAGAAAAAAGAGGAAAGAAAAGAAAAATCAGCCGGGCATGGTGGCGAGTACCTGTAATGCCAGCTACTCGGGAAGCTGGGGCAGGAGAATAGCTTGAACCCAGGAGGTGGAGGTTGCAGTGAGCTGAGATTGCACCACCGCACTCCAGCCTGGGCAACAGAGCGAGACTCCATCTCAAAAAACAAAACAAAAAAGAGTTCAATTTCCAGTGCCAATCAAGCTCTGACACCGCACAGCGAGCTGAACTTGCGTCTACACTGCCTTGGTGGGAATCTGGATGGGACTGACCGCCTGCTGCGAGGGAAACCTTCTGAACGGAGAAGCACCTGCCTCTGGAAACAGAGAGGATGATAATGGCTTCTTGCTGTCAGCAGAGGTTACCAAAAAAGAGATGGCACGTTAGAGGCATGAGGTTGCCTGGGGACTTGGAGGCAACCTCGCCCCCCGCCACCTGCCTCAATCTCAAAACAATATTCAGCCTTCTGGGGAAGGCTCAGGGGCCGGTCAGAGATGAGGAGCCGGTGCAGAGCTATGTGTGGTCAAAGCTAATCTGCCCTGGTATGAAGGCCCAGGAGGCCAGCTGTCCCCTCAGCTGAGCTCAGGACAGACCACCCCTCCCCAGCAGCACCGACCAGCTCTCGGAGGATGCTGAGATGCTCCCAGCCCTCCTTGGGCCAGGGCTGTGGGGCTGACTTGTTCCTGGAAGGCTGGTTAATCACACTGTCACCCAGAGAGTCACTGAAAACCCAGGGGCTTTGTTCATGAAAGGAGGTGTTTGTTAGGCCTAAGTGCTCCTTTAAAAGCCATAGGTCTGCATAAGAAACGTGATTGCTCACGACAATAAACACCACACATGTCACTGATTAGAGGAGGCAACTTCACGCATCCTCCAGCGAGACATCGTAACAGGGACTCTTATTTGAAGAGGCAGATCGGCAACTCTGAAAACACATCACAGAGGATTCTAGCCCGCAGAAAGGGGAACAGGGAGAGTCAGACCCCTCTGTGGGCTGGCAGGAAACAGCCCCGTTCTAGGATTTCCTCGGGGACCCCTCGCACCCCCATCCCCGAGCGGCTGGGAAAGTGGGAGTGTGTCCTTCTTCCGTGCCTCCTCAACCTGGCGGCCCCAGCACACCCGAGAGTGGGTGGTGTTGCAAACAGGACAGGCTCTGCACCCCACCCGCGGTTTCCCAGATGAGCCGGGACCCACGTCTCCAGTGTGAACAGTGAGGCCAAGCGCGAGGCCTTCAGGTCTGCTCAGAAGGGGCCGGAGCGGCTGGCGGAGAGCACGGCTGGCCCAGAACTGGAGCCCGCTTTCCCTGGCGTCACCGCCTTTGCCTCTCGAGCTCATGCTGTCGCCAGGGAGTCTCAAGGTGTCACATTTGTTTTCTGACTATTTCGGAGTGCTCTGGCCTTGGCAGGCTCCCACCTGCCCAGTTCCGGGATGCATGGCCAGCCTGCCCTAGTGCTGGCCTCACCTCCCCAGGGCTGCCCTCCCCGCCGGCTGCCAGGCTGCACCTGCGTCTGGGCTGTGCCTGCTGCAGCAGCTCAACACAGTGCACAGCCCCCAACCTGAAGTGACCTTTGCAGGAGCCCGCACTGTAAAATGGAACAAAGTCACGTGGACACACACACCTCTTCTCCTCCTCCTCTCCAGCATCCCCTCTGGAGCGGCAGCAGAAACAGGTAAACAAAGGAACATGTCAAAGTCATGCAAGATATGTGGATGGTAAAAAGAGAACAAGCAGAGGAGGGTTATTACAGGCAGAAACGAGCGGGACAGAGAAAGACAGGATATTCGAAATAAATTAACTTCCTAGAAGTCTGAGAACTAAAGAGGCAACGCCCATCCGCCTAGAGGCATCTAAGCATTTCCCTGTTCTGGTCTCCTGCCAGAGCCGGGTCTCTCTCGAGGGTCCTCGGGCAGTCTCAGCGTCTTTCCCTCTCCACGAGCCCCTGTGCCTCCCCAGGAAATGCGGCCATGGCAGAATGCTCTGGGTCCCTCGCCCCTGATAGGGTTTTAGCTGCCCCCAGAGGGAAGAATTTCACTTGAGACACGGCAAGTGCTGGGAGACTTGAGTCCTCCCCCCAACAGCAGCCATCTGCCCACTCTCCCGACAAGGGTTAAGGGTAGAGGGTCTCCCTGGTGTTACAGAGGGCCGGATGTGCTTTATTAATGAGACCAGGGCCCGGAGAGGTTCAGAGCCTTCAGTCACACGACTGGAAGGGGCTCCCCCGGGGGCTGCTGTCCCTCGCTGTCGTGTCGCTGTACACAGTGGATGGCACCTTTGCTTGCTATGGCATCGGCCCCCGTGGAGTGGGTGCCAGCCCCTCCCTGCTGCCATGTGCGAGGTGGCCCTCAGCGAAGCTGGGAAGGTCTGGTCAGGTTGCAGACCCAAGAGGTGAGTTGCAAGCGGCAACTGCATTCACCAGGCACCAGCTCTCGAGGGCAAAGTCTTGGGGGAGGTGGCCAGCCCTTCCTCCCCGGACCCTGCTCCAGGCGTTCATCCCCAGGATGCTGATTTTGTTCAGCAAACAGCAGGGTGGGCCCGGGAGCAGGGGTCCTGATGGTATTAGTGGGAGCTGGCAATTTTAGGAGGGTCAGGCCAAGTCATGCCAGAGCCCCAGGACAGAAAGCGCTCATGCAAGCTGAGCACCCCCACCCATGAAGCCGAGACCCTCAGGCAGCTTGCAGGGCACCAGGGCCATGACGGGGTGAAGAAAAACCAGACACATCCACTCAGCTGCTCTTCTGCTCTCCTCTTCCGCAACCGGGAAATAAAGCCACTCCCTGGTCCTTTTTCCTGAGGCCAAATGGGGCCACACTTTGCTCCTACCTGGTAGTGGGAGATCGCTTTGTCCTCTCACAATGGACAGCGTCAAAAAAGGCTGCATTCCAGAACCTCAGCGTGTGCCTGCAAGACAGAGCCCTAGTCACACTCTCTCCAAGGGGAGGCCGGGAGGACACGGGTCGTGGGCCACTTGAGGGATAAATAAGGGCAGTGTCTCACATCTGTCTGAGCTTCTAAAAAAGTCTCAGAGAGGTAGGGCTGAGAAGGAAAAACTGAGCATATGGCTTGATCTAAATAAAGCTGTTTCCCCGGGGCTCCCGGTGGCTGCGTATCTCTTAGGAGAGATGGCGCAAGTGGGAGGGAAAACTACGCTATCCCGGGCTGCACCGCGGGCAGGAGGGCGCTGGCGGGCAGAGCTGAAGCCACCATCTGTAGGACACAGAAGCGGGCCGTTTTCTTCCTCCGCCTTTCCTGCTGGGACTCCCAAGAGGAAGCACAGGGCTGGGAAGATGTGCTTTTCTACATCAGGGTCTAGTAACATAAATGGGACCCCGGCAGCGACACATCGTGTGCCGAGAGAACTAACGTTCATAGGGACTCTCAAGGAAAAAACATTCTTTGGGGTGTTTTTTTTTTTTTGAGATGGAGTTTCACTCTTGTTGCCCAGGCTGGAGTTCAATGGCGTGATCTCCGCTCACTGCAACCTCTGCCTCCCAGGTTCAAGCATTCTCCTGCCTCAGCCTCCTGAGTAGCTGGGATTACAGGCACACACCACCACACCAGGCTAATTTTGTATTTTTAGTAGAGATGGGGGTTTCGCCACGTTGACCAGGCTGGTCTCGAACTCTTGACCACAGGTAATCCGCCCGCCTTGGCCTCCCAAAGTGCTGGGATCACAGGCATGAGCCACAGCGCCCAACAGAAAAATTCTTCTTAAAGAACATCAGGGGTTGGCAAACTATGGTGTGTAGGCTGAAGCAGGCCGGCGGCTTGTTGCTGTAAATAAAGTTTTATTGGAACAAGCCACGCTCATACATTTATACAACGTCTCTGGTGGTGTTCACGCTACAACAGCATAGTGGTGTGGCTGCAGCAGAGACCATCTGGCCCGCAAAGCCTAACATATTTATTATCTGGCCCTTCACAGAAAAGTTTGCCAAGCAACAATGAAAAGACAGCAGCCAAGTCAAGGACAGAGGAGCTGAGCTGAATCACCAGAAGGCGGGACAAAGAGCGCCAGCTTCTCCCCGTCCTCTGCTTCCACGGGAACCAGGTCCAGCCTCAAGGGCCTTCCTACAGCTCCAGCCCTGCCCTCTGCCCTCTGGGTCCCTGCGGCACTCCCTGGCCAAGCTCCTTAAGTAGCCCTTGCTTGGTTAACAGGCAGAATGCACCACAGCCAACTGTGATCTTCAGGGGAGGGAGGGCCTGTCGGACACTGATTCCAGGTGCTAGCAAAGCACTCTAAAATATGTTGAGAGGCTTCAGAGAGATTAGGCAGCCTGACCATCATCTGCAGATCTGGGCCATACGCCAGGGTGGCCAAGATTTCCCCTGCAACACTGGTCTCACTTCAACCATCACCTTCATTCATTTATATACATGTAAGAGCTTAATTGGGATATAATTCACATGCCATGAAATTCGCCCTCTAAAATATACAATTCAGTAACTTTTAGTGTATTCACAGAGTTGTGCAGCCACCATTTCCAGAACATTCCCTCATCCCATAAAGAAACCCCATCCCCATCAGCAGTCATGCCCTGTTCCCCATTCCGCGCCCTCTGCCCGGGCTATCAGTCATCTGCTATGTCTCTAGGAATCTGCTATTCTGGACATTTCACAGGGATGATACAATACGTGGGCTTCTGTGCCTGGCTTCTTCCACTGAGTTTCACACATTTCCCAGGCCTATCCCTGCTGCAGCGTGGAGCGGCATGCCATTCCTTTTCATGGCTGGCTAATATTTCATGCAATGGATGGATTTTGTTTACCCATTCATTACTGGACGGCCATGAAGGTGGTTTCCACTTTGGGGCCATAATAAATGACGCTGCTACAGACATTTGTACAAGGTTTTGTGAGGACACGTTTTTCTCTTGGGTGACTCCTAGGAGTGGAGCTGCTGGCTCACAGGGTAACTCTGTGTTTCACCTTTAAAGGAACTGCCAGACTGTTTCCACAGCAGCTGCTCCATTTACATTCCTCCTAGCCATACAGGAGACCTCCAATTTCTCCACATCCTCGCCAATGCCTGTGAGGGTTCATCTTTTTATTCTGCCACCCTGGGGGGTGTAAGAATTCTGCCATTCTGATGGGGACAAAGGCAACTAGAAGTGATCCTGGGGAGTGACTGCTGGCCCCGTAGGAGGGTGACAGGAAGCCACGGGCTCGGCCTTACCAGATGGGCTGCTGCTTCAGGTGCGTGTACAGGTAGATCTTCTCCCCCTTCTTTTCGTCCTCGGGGCTGTACACAGTCACTGTGGGAGAAGAAAGGCTGAAAGCAGCTCCGGCTGCGTGCCCGCTGTTGGCAAATCCCGGGCGACAGCCTCCCAGCAGCCAGTTTCTCCCCGAATGCCACAGAAACACGTGGTGCAAACTCCACCATGGCTTTTCTGCTAGCCATAGCCAGTAATGGTGCTATTCCCACCCGGCAATAAGGACTTCCTCTGAGAGATGGTTCCACAGCACAGCCGCAGCCCCTCGCGGTAACCCTTAGCCTTCCTGGGATTAAGGAATTTAGTTCCTCCTTAGAAAAGTGGCTCTTCCACAGAAACTCAGTGAGAAAATACAGACCACGGGAGCTGGGAAGCAACTGGGGCATCAACCAGGGCAAGGTTCCTGTGGTCCGTGGAGGCAGGAAAGCCCCAGAGGCCGTGCACCTGCTTGTGTGCTGGCTGAGGGGGTGTGGGCCAGGCATCTCCTGCTGTTGCCTGGGCAGACTCACCAGCCCTGGGCCGCTTCTCCTGGGGTTTGCTCTCGTCTTCCCTGAGGGAAAGAAGGCACCATGACGACAGATGCGACTCACACCACACTTTCTCAACTCAAAGACGCCGTTCTATACTTCTCAGGTGGGACTGGCTACATTTAATATGGCTTGCTCTGAAAAGCCTTTTATGAAATCAAGGCTCCATTTGTCAACTGCCAGTGTTTCAGAATTCAGGAAATGTGGCATTGAGGTTTCTTTATGTCATTTTCTCTGAATCCAAAGCTGAATGGGGCAGAGGAGGAGGCCAAGACACCTGGCTGCGGCCCAGCCATGGGTGGGAAGAGGGGACCCCGGGGCTCCCTCTGGCTGCCGCATCCCTCCTCCTTGTGGAAGTCATAGCTTCTATGAGTCTATTTCTGATGTGCCTGTCCCCAAAGTGTTCCTCAAGTGTCTGTCACAGCCCTGCTCTCCTGGGAACAGTGTTTTTCTCCTGTGACTCAAGACCATGTTCCACAAGCACTCACTCTTGGTCCAGCCAGGGGATGGAGGGGACAGAGGAGACAGAGTGGAGGGGCTGCAGTTCCCTCTGCCATCGGACAATCCCCTGGGCTCCTCATCAGTCCCAGGGAGTGTGCCCCCAGGGACATCCCTGCATGTCACTGGGGGGCTCAGCTTTGCAGACCATAGCAAGCTGTGGGGACAGAGGCGGCTGGGCAGCGCAGTGCTCCTGACAGACAGTCTCTGGGCCTCACTCGAACCCTCCCTGCTGCCCCCACCTGAGCTCCACACCAGCTTCTCCCCCGTCCCATGCAGGTGGGAGGGACCCCAAGGCCACACGTACTCGTTCCTCCTGGCCAGGGGCCCCTTCAGCTTGGTCTCCAGCCCCCCGAAGAAGCCCTTGACATTCTCCGTCCTGGCCGAGGTGTTCTTCAGCAGCCGCTCGGCGATGTCCTTCTTCTCGGCCAGCCAGCTGTTTGCGGATTTCAGGTAGGAGTCGATGCTGCCCGCGGGCTTCTCCCGGGCCTCCGGGGGCAGCAGCTGCGGTTTTCCTTGGACGAGAGAGGGAACAAGACGAGGCCAGTTAGGCCGGGGTCTGCACCTGCTAACTACAGAGGCCCAGGGGGAGCCCCGCAGGGGTCCTGTGCAGTGGGGATACAGGAGCCTCCCTCCTCAGCCCAGGACAGGGGTGGTGCAGGCTCAGCCGGTCCAGGATGAGGAAGTGGGGGCCCTGCTCCCCGTGAGCACTCTCAGCACCTGCTGTGCACAGAGAAGCCACTAGGAGCAGGGAGGGAGCAAAGGAGATGCAGGCTGGAGCCCGGCCCAGGTGGCAGGGTCTGCAGGGAGGCGAGGGCAGAGGCCCGACCATGCCAGCGCCAGGGAGGCAGAAGCCAGCTGGGCACCAGGCCCCTGAAATGGGAGTGTGGAGACAGCAGGGGGGTGGGGAGCCCTGGCACCCAAACTCCCTTAGCCAATGGACGGACACGAGGCCCTGGCACTCCCGCAGGATGACGTACCCCCATGGGCCCCAGTGCCCACTATAAGTCAAAGGTTCTCTGTAGGCCCTGGCAGGGTGTCCTTACTAGCTGAAGCTGCTGTGGGTAGCCCTGTCTCAGGAAGCAGCGTCTATTCATTATGGGTCTATCTGTTCTTCAAAAAGGAAGAGCCAAAGGCTGTACTGGGGGGTTCCCACTCCACCCAAAGCAGCTGATGAGTGGCCTGGCGGGAAGGGCCTGCCCGCTGGTGTGGCTGGGACACCAGCCATGGCAGTTGGACCAAATGAACTGAGGGGTGCGGAGAGGACACCTGTGGGAGGGGGAGCAGATGCACACACCCCAAGAGTGAGCATGCAGGTACCGAGAGAGCACAGCACGGGGGGTCGGGGCCTAGCACCTCCCTGACCCAGCTCCAGTCCACGTGGAGGCTTCCAGCAACCTTCCACTATGGTGGCCTGAACGAGTCCTGTTGCTGCAGCCCAAGGAGACTCACGCAGGAAGCCCTTGAGCTCCAACGTACCAGAAAGTTCCAACGGAATGAGGCAGAAGAGATATCACAGCCTCAGCATCAAGAACAGTCCACACTCCTCATAAGCCATCTCCAGCCCATCCCTGGGCAGTCTCTGCCACTTCAGATCTAGACGGCTGCTCCCCACCACCCTCCAATAACCAAGCGTGTCTTGTTTTGGTAAAACATAAAACTGATTATCTTCACATCCAGCAGTTCCTGCCTCCACCATAAAACGTCCTGCCTAGCATGTTTCTCCTATCAGCTCGGGAGTTTCCTTTGCACCCTGGTCAGTCAACCTCCCACCCCATGATTCGGACCATGTTTTCTCTGAAGTCTCACTCCTCCCTAACACCAGCGTCCTCTGTTCTCTGAAGGCCCCGTAGCTTTTGCTTTTAACCATGAAAAAAGCTTCCGCTGACACATTATTGGCTGGCGAGCCTCAGGATCCCGTGGGTGAACCCCACATCCGCCCACCCGTGTCTTACCGATGTGGTAGTAGGTGAAGCACATGGTCATGAGGTTCTTGGCAGGCCCAAAGTCATCCATCTGATGACACCTGAAACAAGAGGCAAAGTTCACGGCTAAAGATCGCTCCACTTGCTTCTCCTTGCAAGCCATCGCTGAGACACTTGACACATGTGTCCCAATTAATATCTTCCCCCACTGGAGACGCACAAAACAATCTCCCTGAGTTCTATTAGGAGAGCTACATACAGGCACATGGCCTGGGACTGACTGAATGGGAAGGAGTTTGTGGTCTGCCTGCCTGGCTTCCTTCACTGAAAAGGTAAAAGCCAGGGCCCGGGAAGCTCAACTCGACGCCCAGGAGCAGAGCCAGGCCTCAAGTCTCAAGTGCACAAGAAGCTGGGCCTCAAGTCTCAGCGCACACCTGTGGCCCAGGCCACCTGGCTCTCCAGCCCTTGCCTTCTCAGGAATTAGCAGTAAGTTGGAGGACCTTCCCCGCATCTGTGGCTCTCAGGCTCCTGCCCACAGCATCGGTGGTGGGGCATCAGGAGGTGGAGCCTCCGATCCAGCAGGTCTTGGTCTTGGGCGGGGCCATTCCTTTGTATTGCAGGTTTCTTTGTCTTTCTATCCTGATCCCTTTTAGACTTTTCTTTTCTGTTTAGGTTTTAACTTTGGACAATTATTACTTTACGAGTCAAAAGAAATTATCTAGACAGTGGGATTAAGGGCCATTTTTATCTTTTTATATAAAAAACTAACTAAACTAGTAATAAAACTATAAAAGACAAAGTAAAAACTAAAGATGTTTAACAAACTAAAGATTATAAAACTAAAAAATCCCATATTGTCTAAATATTAAAAGAGTTTTTGTTTCACTTTGTTTTTGCAACTATACAAACATATATATGCTCAGGGACCAAGTGATGGCAAGAATCTTTGTGTTTTGGCAGGTTGGGACTTTAACCCCTCCCTCCCCAACTTACTTGCGTAAGACAAAAAACTCAAAGAAAAATGGAGAATTACTTTTAGCCTAGTGCAAATAAAAAAAAAGAAAGAAAATGGAGAATCAGAATTGTGCAAAATGGGGGTTCGTGAAAATGCCTGGGACTGCATATGTTGGAAATTGAAGTATCTTAATTGTATGAGAGAATGTTTCACAAAAGGCAACCTAGAGGGCCTGTTTTAAACCACTACCCTCTGGCTGAAGGTGAGGGCTCACTCAGCCTCTTCCGGTGAAGGTTTCTCAGCCCTCCCCTGGCCAGCTCTGAAGGCCAGACCTCAGAGGAGAAACGGATCTTGGACTTTGGGTATCCTGAGCAAGGGTAGGAAAAATAGGGATCCTCCTTTTGTTGGTCTTCTTCTTCCAGTATATGCCCAAGTTCAAAGAGAAACAGAGAAAGGGGAGAGACATGAAGAAGCAGGAGAACTGGGACTCGAGAGAGCAGGCTGGGTGTGGTGCTTCACGCCTGTAATCCTAGCAATTTGGGAAGCTGAGGAAGGATGATTGCTTGAGCCCAGGAGTTTGAGACCAGCCTGGGAAACATAGGAAGACTTCATCTCTACTAAATATGTGTGTGTGTGTGTGTGTGTGTGTATGTGTATATATCTATATGGAATATGGCCAGGCGTGGTGGCTCACTCCTGTAATCCCAGTACCTTGGGAGGCTGAAGCAGGTGAATCACTTGAGGTCTGGAGTTCAAGACCAGCCTAGCCGACATGGTGAAACCCTGTCTCTACTAAAAATACAAAAATTAGACGGGCATGATGGTGCATGCCTGTAGTCCCAGCTACTTAGGAGGCTGAGGCAGGAGAATTGCTTGAACCCGGGAGGTGGAGGTTGCAGCGAGCTGAGATCCCACTGCACTCCAGCCTGGGTGAAGAGTGAGACACTGTTTCAAAAAAAATAAAATAAAAAAAAAAATAAATTTAAAATGAGCTAGGTGTGGTGGCATGCACCTGTAGTCCTAATTATTTGGGAGGCTGAGATGGAAGGATCCCTCGAACCCAGGAGATTGAGGCTGCAGTGAACTGTGATTGAGCCACTGCACTCCCGCCTGGGTGACAGAGCAACATCCTGTCTCAAAAAAACCCAAAAAACCAAAAAAAAACGACCCAAGCAGCTATCTTTGGTTGGGAGACAAGGAAGTAAAGGAGGGAGATTTTTCAGGCCTGGAAGGACAAAACAAAGGCAGTGATGTGGGAAGGTGGCGATGGGATGAGCCAAAGACCAGAAGAGGACACACGGCCCAAAGCAGGGGCTGCTTAGAGGCCTTCTGCAGGAGATGGGGATAGTGGGGTGCAGACATGCCCAGATCAGGGCTCCCAGCCCCAGAATCGAGGCTCCCCAGAATCGGTCAGGCCACTGCCCAGCCTCCCCAAGGCCAAGAAGCATCCCTTCCATTTCACACCTTGGAGGCATGAAGCTGGTCTGGTGACCCCAGAGAGTCATGCTCCTGAGAAGGGAGTCTGTGCCTCATGGGGTCTGGCTCCCTAATCTCACAAGTGAGCAGGGACAGAGATGGGATTGGCCCCAAATCTCCAGCTAGCGGCCATGCCCTTTCCACCACCCCTCACTGCCTACCAAGGGCTTCTGTGATAAAAGGCCCCAGTGGTGCCTAATCAGTGTTTGCAGGGAAGGCTACAGTCCTCCCAACACATCATTAAGTGTTTATTTGCTCATGGGGTTGGCAGTTGAGTTTGAAGTACTTTACAACAGGAACTCAGGAAAGTGCTAGACCTCCCGAGGAGGGCAGGGCCACAGTACATCATCACCACCTGGCCCTGAGGACCCGCCCAGAGGATGCTCCTCACATCCAGCTGCAGTCCTCTCATCACTGCCAGCTAAGGATGGCCAGCCCTGCTCCCGTGAGATGGTGGTCACGACTGTGCCTTTTAGCTGATGCTGGGTATAGCACAGCAATTGCAACCTGATGACTAGTGTGGATATGACTCACAGCTGGTTATGACACGGCTGGGTGGGGAGGGAAGGAAGGAGGGAAGAGGAGCTTACCAGGACAAAGGCTTTGTGCAATGGCATTACTTACTCAAACAGCACCACTGCAAAAGACTGCACCAGGCGGTAGAAGGTTGCCTCTGAGACACACTTGGAGTTGCAGCGCTGTCCAGAAAGAGGCCAGACACGTCATTGAGGTTCAGGGCGACACACGCAGCACTCAGTGAAGCTGCAGGCTTTCCACTCTCAGTGTTTCCAAATGCAGCTGGGACGAGGGCCCAGGATGGCTGCTGCCTCTGCACTATAGAACCCGCCCCTCCTGCCAGGACCCGGGCAGAGTACAGCTACCTGCACCCAACCATCACTGGGCAGGGCACACACAGGGGTTCTCCTCGGTGTCCTTCCCAGATTTTTAAAAGTAGGAACTTCATACACACCCACACACAGAAAAGTACCCCACAATGACAACGCTGGCTGTTTCCAAACTGTGGATGTGTGGGTAATAAACTTCTCTTTGCTCATCTGCATTTTCTAACTTTTCCATGAAAAATAAATTATTTGCACTAAAATACTTAAAAACTAAAAACTTAGGCCACTCAGGAAAAAAAAAGAACCTACTGGATATTTACAAAATTTAATTATTTTCTAAACTTTGTTAATATATTTTTATTCACATGACTGTCACGGTCTTGAATATTTTTTATTTTTTACAAAAAATCGAGTATTACGGGTTAATAAAAATATGCACGCACATAACTCACATGCTTGCCTTTAAAAAATGAGATTTTACGGAATTTCATGAAGTTGAAAGCCCAGTTTCTTACACTTTCCCTTGAAGTGCGACGTCCAAATGAGCTACTTCCTGTTTCTCACTATTCTTTTTTAACTTTTAGAGATGGGGGAAAGGGGGACCTCACTATGTTGTTCAGGCTGGTCTTGAACTCCTGGGCTCAAGTGATCCTCCCGCCTTGGCCTCCCAAAGTGCTGGGATTACAGGCGTGAGCCACTGTGCCCAGACTGTTTCTCACTATTCTCAACACTCCTTTTCAGAATATTCTGGGGTAAGTTTTACTTTTTTTTTTCTGTTGGGTCATTTCCGTTGACTCTTCTCCAGAGTGTCATTATAGGATAAAGTCAAATTTGTTATGCTTCACCAGATTCTTCCTCAAGGGTAAACGCCCATCCTTCCCATCACCTCTCCCTTACCTGGGCACTCACGTATCGAGCAAACCACTCCCGGCCTTTTCCATTTTCACTGCTGCAGTACTCTCCAAACTTGGCTTTCTCCTCCTGATCTAAGTCCTCCCTAAAAAAAAAAAAAAAAAAAAAAAGGGGAGGGGAAAAAAAAACCCCTTTTCAATCCCCTGGAGCAATAGGGGAAGAGCAAGGAGAAGGAACTAACGAAGTATTGCTCTCCAGCCAAGCACAGACCCCAACTCCCATCACCTCGTCTCAGCCTCCGGGCGGTCCCGTGAGGAAAGGGTGTTACTGTTATTTCAAAGGTGAGGAGCCTGGCTCGGAGAATCACACGCCGGCTTGAGAGTGGCGAACCAGAGTTCCATCCAGGCTTCCTGGTTCCAAAGCCCATGTCCTTCCCCTGCCCCTCCCGACCCCTGCCTGGGGAGGTCTGAGTCCGGATAAGGGCACGAACTCTGAGAGGTGTTGGTTCTCCAGCTCTCTGACTTCCCACTAGTTTTTGATGCTGGAGTCAGCATGGAACCAGCCCCTGAATTTAAGACTTCCTGAATTTGCTCTGTCTTAGTATACTGACACCAAGGTTTGATGCCAGGAAGAAAACCATCTCCCACATATCAGCAGGGCGCTCGCTCATCCCTCTGCACTTCCAGAGTGAGGCTGCTCACGGGCCAGGCCATCCCCAGGTGTGTGTGAGAGGTATGGAGACCAGGGGCCTCCACCTTGGTGTCACCACCACTAGGATGGATAACATGCTCACATACTTTCAGGCCACTTCTCATCACTCTTTGTAAGGCGCCAATACTCTTTCCCAAATTTAAAGACTCGAAAATGAAGCAGAAGGCTGAAGATCACTTGGCTTATGCAACCTTCATTTATGTTTTGTAGAAAACATCTTGGTCCTCATTTACTCTAAATACCAACATCAGATGAAATATGTGTTATCTGCAGGCTTTTGTAGTAATTTCTGGAATGCTTGCGAAGGCGCATCTGACTCAGGTGTCCACATTCGGTATCGCTGACAGGCTACTGCAAATAGAGGCTGGCTTTCCTGGCAAATGAGCAAACTTCTGGGTGTTTTCCCCTTTTCATTAACTGGGGTGTGCTCAGAGAAAGCGTACCCATCGACCGGGCGCGGTGGCTCAAGTCTGTAATCCCAGCACTTTGGGAGGCCGAGACGGGCGGATCACGAGGTCAGGAGATCGAGACCATCCTGGCTAATACGGTGAAACCCCGTCTCTAC